GTCCTCCATGCAAACCTCGTTATCCTTTTCATTATCAATCAGTCTAATTGTTGATCCCTTCAATATTCCTACCACAGTTGAAAATGCCAACAACTACTTGTAAAATCCAGGATATAGTTAGGCAAAAAATCAGAAATGATAAACCTAAACTAAAGATTCAAAAGTAAAGTAAAAAACTTACCGCAGTTTCCTTGGTTATTGACAACAATTAGTGCCCTAATAAACTTTACAGAATAAGAATTCAAGTCAAAATTCTACATCTCTCCTACAAAAAAAAAAACACACACACACATTAGACAAACCTTTAAAAAAAAAGATGTCTGTAATAACAGATGAGATAAGACCGAGTACTTCAGAAAATGTACCACGGAGATGAAATCTGCCAAGAGAAATCGAAGTGGCTGCTCACAGAAATGGGTTTGCCGAATGGGCTTATGCCATTGAAGGAAATTGAGGAGTGCGGCTTCGTGAAGGAAACCGGCTTCGTATGGCTGAAGCAGAAGAAGAAGTGCGAGCACAAGTTCGTCAAGATCAGCCCGGTTCAGTACGCCGAACCGGATCAAGAATTAATTAAGCTCACCGGCGTCAAGACAAAGGAGCTCCTCCTGTGGGTCACTCTCTCCAACATCTCCGTCGACGATCCGCCACCGGAAAGATCACATTCTAGTCTCAAGACTCCCACGGGTCAAATCTGGAAGAAGGAAGCGATTAACGAAAAGAAAAAAGCGTGGAAACCGTTTTCTACAGGTTTCAATTTACACTTCGGTTTTAAAAAAAATGTGAACATAAAAAGATAAAAACTGTCATGAAAATTCAGTAGAAGAAAAAGTTGGGAATCAAAAAAACGGCAACATATCGTGGGATGGAATGTGGAAATGGTTTCTACAGTTGTACGAACTAATAGTGATAATTACATGAGTATAGGATTTAGTTGGAGGTGGAATTATACCACTATCCAAAAAAATAGGAAAATATTAATTCCAAAAATTATAAAACCATACAACGGAATGAAAATAGAGAAATTTTGAATTTTAATTTAGAAATTTATTTATTGACGATATTGCCCCTAGGTTTAGGTCTAGGGTTATAAGTCAAAATATCTTCTTTTTATATATAAGATTACATGATGATCTCATCACTATGCATCAAATAAAAACTAAAAAGCATCCATTTATCCACATCTGCTGATTTCCCTCCAATTAAACACGCGTAATCGTAATCGTAATCATAATCCGAAATCAAACTACGGATATGCTAATCTATTCGCTTCCATCACATAAATCGCACTTTCCAACTCACCATATTTTCTCTCTCTAAAAAAAATTAAAAAAAATCTTTCTATATCTTCCTTTGTGCATGTACTAATTTTTTTTTTTAACAATTGAAATAAATACATAATACTAAATGTACATGCGAACCCCTTTTTTTCTTCTCCTGCTGTTTTTTTTTTCTTTTTTTTTTTCTAGTTAGAGATGACTTAATTAATATAATTAATTAATTATTACAAGAGATGAGAATGCCATCTCAATCTCACCGACAAACACGACTTTAGGGCAATAAAAAACACTAATGTTGGCACGTTTTATGATGGAATCTTTGATTTTTAGTTAGATTAAAAATATTTTACTGGGTTGTAATTGGACAAGTAGTTATATATAATAATATTATTGTCATGGAAAGATGACAACTAAACCACTGAGAATGCAAAAAGCCAAAATACTTCACATGACTCAATAGATGATGGCATTTGGATTTTTTGGACAATTATACATATTTTTATCCTTTTTATCCTTTTTATCTTGTCATCATTAATAAAATAAAAATTAAATGAATGTCTTCCTTCTAAGTTTGATTTCTAATCGACTAGTAGATGTTTTTTTTTCTTTTTTTTTCATGTGAATGCCCGAGATAATATTTCCAAAATAAAAAAATAATTAATTTAATACACGATTCTAACAATTACTAACTAACTCTAAAAAGTACTAGTGATGCATCCGTATTCATCTAACTGTTATATATACTACAAACTTATTGGTCAAAAGATTATATAGATATGAAATAGATCGTGAAATATATGAAGCAATTAATAATTAAAAAAAAAGTACAAAGATGTTAATATAGCGGAACGATGTTCCGTTGAGTTAAGAAAGGAATAAAATAAATAATAATTATTAGAAATTAGTAAAAAAAGATTTACGAAATTGCAATTAACAATGATAGAGGAATATAATGACAAATAAATTAGAAAATTAATGGGAAAAATATAAAACATAAATAATTATAAAAATGACATTAGGTTACTCAGGCTTGCCAAGGGGTTTTTCCTTTTATGTATAAGATTTTGTTAATGAAGAATAAAATATATAAGTATTTTAATGTACGTAGATACTTCTTAGAACATAATTATTATTTACTCAAAGAAAAAAAAAGAACCGAATTATTATTATTGATAAACTCGAATTGTTTTAGTTCTAACTATTATGATTAATATTAAAAAATAAACTTTCTGCTTCATTTGTACCATAATAGTAGAAGCTATGTATCAATGCTTGATGAAGTAAATCATACATATTAAAATTTAATTAATACATTCACGTTCATTCGAACATACACAATAAGTATATTTACGTAAATTAGCCGTTTTTCATCACAATCGCACACTCAATCAACGCATTTTCAGGCTATGCATTGTTTATTTATTGCTTCACTGTTTATCAAGAAGTTCGAAAATATATATAATCATAATAATTGTTGCTATAAATATTAGCAAGATTATAAGAAGATTAGAGAAACTAATTAATTAATTAACCTAGATCACGACTGCTGCTTGATTTTCTTCTATTATTGACCTGGACGAAGACCCAGATTTTCGGGTCGAGCACGTGACTGAGTCAGCATTCGGAGCTTCATTGATACACTATGACTCCGAAGTTCAAACTATCATACTATAAAACCTTAATCTTCAATTTGTTACTAAAAATATTGATTATTAATTGTTGTTTTGTTTATTTTATCGATAACCGTAGTTTTACGATTCTTGACATAAACGATATTTAATCTCAATTATTTATACCAAAAAGTATATATATAAAGTATAAAGATAGAAAACCATTGATGTTTTCCATGAATGCTGTTTCAAACGAAATCAATTTGGAAATATTTATGTATATTTAATTTGCAAATTGCACCTTTGAGGGCACATAATTTGGAAAATTAAATTAGTTTCTAGCATGTGTTTTTGTATTTTTAAGGTGAAAAAAATATTATTTATTTATTAATGGGTTTTAAAGAAAACCATTGATGTTCTATTTATTGTCACTTTCTCAAATAATTTATTAAAGGGTAAGGCTTTGATTTAGTTACATTTAAGCATTGGTATTAGCTTAAGATCTTGGCATCACAAAATATTGTTAATTGGAAGTAAACACCAATAGATATTAATATATATTAATAGGTAAGACTATTCAACACAAGAGACTGAGATAGGGTCTTGTAAATATTTAATTTTCTATTATTTAAATAGAATAATATCCCTCGACACCGTATAAAAATGTACGATTGGAAACAGACAAAATCTTATTAATTTAGCGGAATACTAAATAATCGATAAATTAATAATTACTAAATGTAGATGACAAAGGCACTAAAAATTAGAGAATCTAGTGACATAGAATTGCATATGCATAGCAAAATGGGTGGATGTTGAATATCTTTTCACTATCCTGAAAAAAATAAATAGATAAAACAAATCATTGAAACTAAAAAAATGTGATGTATGAAATTGAAGATGTTAGTTTTACAACATAGTTTATTTCTCTGAGTTTGGAAAAACAAACTTAATAAAAGTTGGAGAAGAAATTCAAAGTGACATCACTTTCAATAACAAGAGAAAAAAATTATCATTTTTATGAAGTTTTCAAATATTAGTCATAAATGTGCCATGGGTTTTATTTGTATATGAATTCTTGTACATATTTTTTATATATATAAATTTAGCAAATTATTAATTTAGCATGTCGTCCTCGAGTCTGAATAACTAGATTATTAATTAATCTAAAATGAAATTAATAAAGTTCTAATATATAACTATATAATTATATAAATGATAAATTAGGGCATTTATATAAAAAAGAGGGGTGTTTTCATAAGATAATAATTGAGGAGGGTGCGTGGTTGTAATTACCCAAGCACAATGGATTTTTTCATAATTTTACATTATCTCGTGGGCTGGCCGTAATTTGCGCTTATTAAATGAAAAATTGTAAAAGAAAACAAAAGGATGGAATTTTAGTTAGAGCCAAGTTGGGAGAGCAAGTGGATGAAAATTTGCAATACGTTCCAAGTTGGTTTTGTTGACTGCAAATAGTAATTAATTGGGACCGCATAACTCTTCCAATTGCTTCACAACTTGTGAATTTCAAATATTCCATTTATATTTCTAATTAATTATTTCTCATCTGTGCAATCAAATAATAACCAAACCTAACAAATTTTGTCTGCCCATTTGATGGTTAGAGACTTATAAATAAGTTAGGTTTTGAATTTTCAAAAGCTGGCCTTTTAAATAATATGCCAATTTGTCCGACTAGACCTTCCCCAACCATTTTCTTTTACTCTCTAATTTTCAAAATTTGATATATAATATCTGATACGGGATCACTTGAAAATTGTAAATCGAACGTTGAATTGGAGAATTGTTTAGAAATACATATTCGAATGCCACGAGCTTTGCGCTGATTGATCTAAGTGTGCGTCTTTTCTACAAAATCAGAAAAAATATTATGTAACACGTCAGAGAGTTGCCCGACGATTACATTCCGACGCTTAAATTAGATGATATCGCGTGTTGTAATTGCACCAACATTATATAGTTTTTCTTCTATATTCTCAATGTAAAAGAATAAATAGGGCTGGTTCATTCAAAAATGTGAATGGACTTGGTCAGCTCATAGTTTTTTTTTGCCAAAAAAAAATATAGAAAACGTTGACTTTGCCCTAAGATAGTCGTCTCAAATAGAACTCCACGTCAACGGATGAGAATAGTTCCTCTGTTCTAATTACACTAATTAAATTCGCCCAGGAATTTAATTTGGAAAAAAATATTAAATAAAATAATACTAGTATTTTATGATTAGCAAGAATTAGTAAAACAAAATCACGAGCAAGAAAAACATTATATATAACAAGAACAAATTTTTTTTTCTTGAAAAAACTTCATGCCTTTTCATTTATATGCATAATGCAATATTATTTTGCCACATGGAGAATTTTGAAAAAAATAAATAGATAGATACAGAATAATGAATTGCCCATATGTTTAATGGTCCCCTAGAAATTAATTAATTTATCAATTTGGGATGGAAATAAGTAGAGAAAGTACGTAGTGTTTATGTTGCCGACATGCCACGCACAAACTTACATTTACAAAAGTCAACATCGGTTATATATATATGTATCTCTATAATATATATATAATAATATATTTTGATATTTTTAAAAGATATATATATATATATATGATATTTCTGCAGCGTCGTTTTCTTCTGTTGCAGATAAGCATTGATCAAATCAACCTCAATACCTATTATCCATTATAATATTATTCTTTCACTATATTAGTTTCTCATAATATCAATAGCGCAGTAGCGGAGCCAGTATAGAGTCGAGGGGTTCGGCCCCCTAACAATTCTCGAATCCCTCGTTATTGTATAAATTAGTTATAAAAAAGTCGTATAAATTTACCATCGGCCCTGTTTCATAATTTTTTTAATGCATTCGTCCCCAGACTTAAGACGTAATATCCGGACTCTGCAA